GCGGATTTGGGGACACGCTCCCCGCTCTCCCCACTCACCCCGCGGATTTGGGGACACGCTCCCCGCTCTCCCCACTCACCCAGCGGATTCCCTGGATGCGGGGCAGGCTCCCCCCGGCCCCCTCCAGCCGCACCTCGTAGCTGGAGCTCCGGAACAAGTGCATCTTCCTGAGCAGCCCCGAGAGCCGGGCTCCGTCCGCACCGGGACCCCCGGGGGGCTGCGGGGGGGCGGCGGCGGCGCCGCTTCCCGGCTCCGGCCGCGCTCGCCCCGGCCCCGCGCCCCTCCGCGCCCCCCCGGCCGCTGCCCCGGGCCCGGCCCCGCGCACCTTCATGCGGCGGCGGCGGCGGGGGGGGGCGAGCCCATCGCGGCCGCGGCGCCGGGGCTGCTCCGCCGCTCCTCGGGACGGGGCCGGGCTCGGGAGCGGCTCCGCCGCCGCCGCCGCCGCGCCGGGCCCGCCCCGGGCACGGCAGCTCCGCCCGCGGCCCCTCCCCGGCTCCCACGGCCCCGCACCGGGACCCCGCGGCTGCGGGGGCAGGCACAGCCCCCAGCCCCGCGACCCCCCGGACCCACGGGACCCGCGGAATCCCCGGGAACCCCCGGCACCCCCGCGACCCCCGGGACCCCCGGGACCCGCGGGATCCCCGGGACCCCCGGGACCCCCGGGACCCCCGGGACCCCCGGAATCCCCGGGACCCCCGGGACCCCCGGGACCCGCGGCACCCCCGGAACCCCCGGGACCCGCGGCACCCCCGAGACCCCCGGGCCTGGGTTTTGGTCTTCTCCAGGGGTCTCTGAGCACCTCAAACCTGGGGTTTGGGTGGTCACAGGGGGCTCCCCTGCCCTGCTCAGCCCGGTTGGGGAAAACGGGAGCCAGAAGGGCTGGGAAGAGGGAGGGGGGTTCGTGCTGGGAATGGTTCAGACTGGGAATGGTTTGCACTGGGAATGCTTTGCACTGGGAATGGTTCAGACTGGGAATGGTTTGCACTGGGAATGCTTTGCACTGGGAATGGTTCAGACTGGGAATGGTTCAGACTGGGAATGGTTTGCACTGGGAATGGTTCAGACTGGAAAAGGTTCAGACTGGGAATGGTTCAGACTGGGAATGGTTCAGACTGGGAATGGTTTGCACTGGGAATGCTTTGCACTGGGAATGGTTCAGACTGGGAATGGTTTGCACTGGGAATGGCTCAGACTGGAAAAGGTTCAGACTGGGAATGGTTCAGACTGGGAATGGTTTGCACTGGGAATTGTTCAGACTGGGAATGGCTCAGACTGGGAATGGTTTGCACTGGGAATGGTTCAGACTGGGAATGGTTTGTACTGGGAATGGTTTGCACTAGGAATGGTTCAGACTGGGAATGGTTTGCACTGGGAATGGCTCAGACTGGAAANGTACTGGGAATGGTTTGCACTAGGAATGGTTCAGACTGGGAATGGTTTGCACTGGGAATGGCTCAGACTGGAAAAGGTTCAGACTGGGAATGGTTCAGACTGGGAATGGTTTGTACTGGGAGGTGGCCCCACCCTCAGCCAGAGCAGCAAAGCTGGAGCGAGGCCCAGCGGTCCTGGGAGAGCTTTTGCTGGGCTTTTTGGCAAAAAAGGAAAGGTGTTTCTGCCAAAAAGAGCCTTCACTTCTGAATGAAATCCCAATTTTTAAAATTCAAACCTGCCTTTAAATCGGCCCCCACGCCAGCTAGAGCAGGGATGGGAAACATCAGCTGGATTCGAGGAATTCGGGGAAAGAGCCTTGAGCCTCCCTTGCTGCCCCTCCTGCCCAGGCACCCCAGGGGCTCTGGGGGTCACATCGGGGTCCCAGATCCATCCTTCCAGGACAGGATCGTGATCCTGATCCTTCCTCCCCCCGATCCCTCCCGCTGCTGCCTCTGCGAGCGCCCGGAGGCCGGGGGGGCTTTTCCCGGGATTCCTGGAGGCTCCGGGGCCGCAGGAACCTCCCGGGCTGGGGAAGCCCCGGAGCATCCCCGTGGCCCCGGAGCTGCTCCGGGGCTCTCCCCTCGGTCCCGGGCGCGGGATCCCGGCCGTGCACAGACACGTCCCCCCATGCAAATCAGGGCTCATTAGGAGAAGGAGGAAGAGGCCTGAGGAAGGCAGCAGCTCCCGGAGCCCGGGCAGCCGCACCCCGGCCGCCGAAGGGGAGGCACCGGGCCTGGCCCCGCGGGGGGACCGCGGGCGGTTCCTGTCCTGGCTGGGGCTTCCACCGCCCCGTTCCAATCCCGTTCCTGTCCCGGCCCCGTCCCATCCCAGCCTACCGCATTCCATTTTATCCCACCCTACCCCATCCCAAACTATCCCAACCCTATGCCAATCCCATCCCTATCCCATTTTATCCCACTTTATCCTGTCCTATCCCACCCTTTCCTATGCCAATCCCATCCTAATCCCATTTTTTCCTACCCTACCCTATCCCTCCCTTTCCCATCCCATTTCCAATCCAAATCGCATCCCATCCCACCCTTTGCACTCCCAATCCCAATCCCAATCCCAGCCCACCCCTCCCCATCCCATTTCAGACCCAGCAATGATATATAATGTAATGTAATGTAATATAATGTAATGTAATGTAGTGTAATGTAGTGTAATGTAATATAATGTAATGTAATGTAGTGTAATGTAGTGTAATGTAATGTAATGTAATGTAATGTAATGTAATGTAATGTAATAATATAATATAATATAATATAATATAATATAATATAATATAATATAATATAATATAATATAATATAATATAATATAATATAATATAATATAATNATATAATATAATATAATATAATATAATATAATATAATATAATATAATATAATATAATATAATATAATATAATATAATATAATATAATATAATATATATTTAGAATGTTAATATTGAACATATTTTGCCTTTAATTTTTATATTTTAAATATTATATAGCTATATAATGATATATATATACTACTATGTCTCATAGGATAATTATATAATTATAACACATATATATATATATAATTATAACACATAAGCACTTCTTGGCCCATCAAATTTCCTACAAATCCATTTCCCACATCCCTGAGGAGTCCCTGGGGTGTCCCTGAGCCCGCTGGTCCCTGCTCCCGCTCCAGGCAGGAGAATCCCACCGCTCCCGGTGCCCCCGCTGCCCTCCGGGGCCCGGGAGCCGCGGCCGTGCCCGCTGCGGGCGCGGGGTCACCGATCCCGGCCGTTGGCAGCGGCCGCTCCGCCTGCCCGGCTCCGGATCTCCGGGAGCAGCCGCTCCTGCCCCCCACCTCTGCCTTATCAGCCTCTTATCGCTCCTTTGGCTCGCGCGTGGACAATCATTAATTAATCCCGCGCGCTTGGACAATCATTAATTAATCCCGCCGCCCTGCCCAGCTCCGCGGGGTTTTGGGGCAGCTCTGGCCTCACCACCCTCCTGGGCAGGAAGCTCTTCCCGAAATCCCGAATCCTAAAGTGGATTTGCAGAATCCCCTCAAATGCAGAATGAAGTGAAATTGGAGTTAAATCCCAATATTTTCACTCCATCTCCTATTTCGGCTCCGTTTGCTGGAAATCAGCGGCCGGGTCTCGTCCCTTGGCGCGGCCGAAATTCCAGGAGGAAGCTGGGAATGTTCTCGGTGTCCCCCAGGAGGGTTTGGCTGGCAGGTGGAGGTGCAGGAAATATTCCATATTTATCCTCTCCCCGGTTCGCCAGGACACGGCCACAAATCAGCCCCGAAAATCCAATCCTGGGGAAAGCGGTTGGGAATTTACAGCGCTCCAAACACCGCGGGTTTATCCTTTAATGCTGCTGCTTTATGTATTTCTCTCCCTCCAACCCTATTTATTTCCTGTTTATTGGCCCAGCCTCCCCTAATTTATGTTTTCATTACTTTGATTAACGCTCCTGCTCCCCTGACATCGTTATTCCGGCGCAGCTTCCCCGAGTGTCTTCCCGAAACCCTCGGTGTTAAATAATCCTCGGATTTAGCCGGGATGATTTGTAATTTAATAAGCGGCTCCACCGCCGTGTTTTATCTCCTAATTGGGCCGGAATTAGCAGCAATTCCGGAATTAACACAAATTATGGGCTACCCCTTGCTATTACGCCGGGTTTTATTGGGTTGGAACAACAGCTGTAGGAATTATCCGAGCCACATTCCCCAATTCTGGGTGTGATTCATTTCTGGATCACCCACGGGCGATAGCTCAGGCAGGAATCGCTGCCGTGGAGGGGATGCTGCTCCCGAGGAAGGGAGGGAGGGAGGAAGGAGAGTTTTGGTCTCCCAGGTGCTTTAATTTCATTCCCTCATTATCATTTGGGGAACGTGATGTGTCTTGTTCTCCCGGTCTTTCCGTGCCCGCTCGGCTTCTTCCTGAAACAATTCCCAGATTTGCGTCTCCGAGGAGCTGCAGACGCCTCAGATCTGAGTCCAGCAAGAGCTGAGCGCCCAGAAAATCATGGAAAAGTGGAATTGTTCAGGTTGGAAAAGCCCGCTAGGGTCACTGAGTCCCACCAGTAACCCAGAGAGGGGAGAAAGAAAAGCAATGTTTTCCCAAAGGTGGGATTTGCTTTTCCCAAAGATAGTATTTGTTTCTTTTACCCAAAGGTGGGATTTGCCTTTCCTAAAGATGGGATTTATTTATTTTTCCTAAAGATGGGATTTTTTTCCCCAAAAATGGGATTTGTTTTTTCCCAAAGATGAGATTTGTTTTTCCCAAAGATGGGATATGTTTTTTTCCCAAAGACAGGGTTTGTTTTTCCCAAAAATGGGATTTTTTCCCCAAGGATGAGATTTGTTTTTCCCAAGGATGGGATTTGTGACCTTTCCTAGCACCAGGACGGGCTGGGACCTCCCCTTTTCCTCAACTTTTCCTTCTTCCTTTCCCCTTTGGGTCTCTGACGTTTCTGGGGTGTCGATCCCAGTTCTTCCCACGGCTGAAACGTTCCTTCAAAAGGGGGAAAACAAAAAGGCCTCAAGGACAAACCCTCAGGACAAAACTCCAGGCTGTTCCCAGCTCTCGGGAAACAAACAGGGCTGTCCCCATCCCGGATGATTTTCCTCCTTTTGTTCCTAGCTCCAGCCCCCAGGAGGGAGGAGGAGGAGGAGGAGGAGGAGGAGGAGGAAGGATCCCTCATCCGGTAAATCCGGCTGTTTCCCAGCTGTTCCCGAGGCTCTGGGGCAGGAGCAAGAACCAGGAAAACGACTCCGCTCTGGGCAACCTGGCCACCAGGTGCTGGGGAACGGGGCCAAGGTCCAGAGCTCTGCAAAATCCAGGTGTCACCTGGAGCTGCTGCGGAGGTGGGCAGTGCCGAGGGGCTGGGAAGCCAATTTTGGGT